GACCCCAAACGAAAATGCCAAAGATTTTCATTAGTAACGGTATGGAGTACGAGTATAATCAGAGTAATTTTTGTTTACAAAAGAACAACTAACATAATATGATTTAACAACAGAATTTCCAGCACTTGGATTCTTCAAATCTACTGCTTCAAGATAATACAATCCTTGTCATTCTCTAGCTAAATCAATCTTTTTCTAGTTTTCCTGAATGATACAACAATCATTATGAAATGTTAGGGAATAACAAGAATGTTTTAATAAATAATTGATAGATATCAAATTGAGTGAAAGCTAAGTGCATATAAGACATGATGTAAAACAAGTGAAGGTGTCACATGTACAAGTCCTATATGAGTAACTGGAGAAGTAGTCCTTTGGGTTTAGATTCTCTGGCCTTCCTTCCCCTAATCCCAAGAAAATCAGTGAGTTGCCCCCACTCTTACTATTGAGTTTCCTTCACTATGGTATTTGAGTTCCACTACACTAAGACGAGATAAGTCCAGATTTTTGGCATCCTTCCTTTTTCGTGAGTTCGTATGAAACTGGTGACTAAGCCTTTTCCTTCTGCCTTTGCAGAACTACCGACAAGTTATTTCCTTCTAAAGAATTTCATCCTTAAGTTAGATAGTCTTTAAGCTTTCTTAGTTAAGAGTAATCCCCTTTTGCCTTTGAGAGCTGTCCAATACCAGTTGATTTATTAGCAATGGTAGTAGGAATAAATCCATTATGCTTTTAGCCAATTATGAATTCTTTCTTTAAGGCTTTTTGTTGGGTAAGATGCTAAGAGAGGAATCACTGCTTATCCACCGGAGTGTGACTAAACTATATAGTTTACGAGTTTGGCAATCGTATGAATAAATTATCCACAAGTCTAGACATAATAAACATTTCAATGGAACTAACTATGTGGTCTGTAGCTCCGGAATCTATGATCCACTCATTATTAGTAGTGTGAAATGGTAGAGTTAAAGTAGTACTTCGCAAGGATGCAAATTGAAGGTTACCAGGGTTACTAGACAATGTATTAATGAGGCAATGTGTTTGTATGGGCTGCAGGACCTGAAGGTTATAGTATGACTAAGAGTTTCTGATATTGATATCTAGTGAGTGAAAAAGGCAATTCCTCTAAAATATTGCATTGAGAATTAAGCCTCACCTGGGTTTCTATTATATCTGAATATGCCTCTGTAGCCTGAATACTTGTTTGATTAATACTTGAGACATTTCTTTGCCTTGGCATATCACCTAGAAAATAACCATATTTTTTGTAGCATTTGTCAATAGTATGGCCAACAAACCCACAATCTGTACAGGTTGGCCTTTTACTATTTCCTCCAAAATTCCTTATATTATGTCCAGGAGTATACATATTTGTAGTTTTCTGCTGTTGCCCAGTAGTCTTATTTGCATATAAGACATTGGTTTCATACTGTGTTCCCAGAGCTCCAACACTAATGCTCTTTTCATGTTGCAAAATCAATGCAAACACATTGTTTAAAGGAGGTAGAAGATCTAATATAAGAATCTGATATTTCACAACATTAAAAGAGTCATTCAATTTTTTCAAAAATTTGATAATATGGTCCTCTTCCTGATATTTTCTATGTATAATACCAACATGACATGTGCACTTAACTGGACATTAACAACTAGGTGCTGGTCTTAGGTTCACGAATTCATCCCATAAGATCTTTATTTGAGTGAAATATTCTGTAACTGATAAAGTTTCTTGCTTCAAAGAAGAAATCTCATCATATAAGTTTAAAACTCTAACCAAACCACACTGTGCAAACCTATCATGGAGATCCTTCTAGAAATCCTTTGCATAATCAATCCATATTGCACTCTGAGCAATGGATGGTGATAACGATCGCATAATCCATGAGACAACTATAGTGTTACACTTTCTCATGACATATATAAGATCATCTTGTTCAGAATCGGGATAGAATCGTCCACGAACTTCAATTTATTTTTGGATATTAAGGTCAATCTCATGGAATGGGACCAGAAATAAAAATTATTACCTGTAGCAACCGATGAGGTAAGCATGAGTGACGGACTCTCGTTTGGGTGAAGGTAGAAAGGATTTGTTGTGACTTTCTCATTCTTTGAAGAATTCTGAATCATTTGAGTCTCCATAACAGATTTACTGAGAAATCGTCAACATTTTGATCAGAAAGAAGACTAAAGGTTTCTGTGAAAAAATTGAGCGATTAACAAAGCAACAAAATCAATTTAGTAGTGCTCTGATACCATATTAAACTTACTGCACAAATTGAACTGATAATAAAAAAAAAGGTTTGTAGATTATCAATATTTGTAAGAAAGATGAAGGAAAATCAAAAGCCTTTAGAAAAGAAGAGAGCACGAAGAGAAGACTGAAAAAAAGAAATGCTTCAGTTATGATAAATAGTGCATGTGTAGATATTTATATACAAAGATTAACTTATGCTCAATTACAGAAATAACCCTATAATTACACAAAATTACGTAAAACAAATATAACAACTATTTTAACAATTTTTTAAAAAATAATATATTCCAAATTTTAAACTCATTATTTATTAATTTACGACATCATCAACTAACTATTAATTTAAAAAGATCGTAAGGAAACGAGCAAAGAAAGCGTGGGTATTTTGGTCAAATCAACCAGAAACTAGGGCTCTCCTGTTCCTCGCAACAAACCTCCCGGAAGTAGGAACGAGGAAACCAGTCGAACATCGTCGTACAAAATCAAGTCGAGCCTCGAAACATCAAAGATCAAGAGGAAAAAGAAAAACAATGGAGAACCCACCAGCCAAGAGCTGGAGCATCCATACCCGACCCGAGATCATTGCCAAGTACGAGATCCTGGAGCGTGTGGGATCAGGCGCCTACGCAGATGTGTACCGTGGGCGTCGGTTATCGGACAACTTGGTGGTGGCGCTGAAGGAGGTTCATGACTACCAGTCCGCGTTTCGCGAGATCGAGGCGCTGCATATCCTCCAGGGCTCACCAAACGTTGTCTTCCTTCACGAGTACTTTTGGCGGGAGGACGAGGACGCCGTGCTGGTGCTCGAGTTCTTGAGGACGGACCTCGCCGCTGTGATCAAAGAGGCCAAGAAAAATACTGGGCTCTCGGTTGGGCAGATTAAGAGATGGATGCTCCAGATTCTTTGCGGGCTCGATGCTTGCCACAGGAATATGATCGTGCATCGGGATTTGAAACCTGGGAACCTGTTGGTTTCCGATGATGGTCTGCTTAAGTTGGCTGATTTTGGCCAGGTACATGATCTCTTCTCTGTTTTGTAAGATAAATCTTTTTATTCTTGTAGGTTCATTACTTAATGTCGAGGATTTTGGTTAAGGAGTAGGAATTAAAATTTTTTCTGATGTGGATTATGACTAGAAATTTGTTTTCTATGCACCGCATGCTTGTTCTTGTGATGGTGAATAACAATTGATTTTGGATGTTGATAGCAGTTATGCTCAATTTCGTCATGGGCTAGTAGTGTCAGAACTTGATTTACCGGAACCCGCAGGTTAAACGAGTTGCTGGGACGCGAAAGGGATCTGCGAATGTTGTATATGTATGCATGTATATAACATTCTTTAGGGTTAAAAAGGGAAAGATGCTGTGTATATAATGTGTACTTGTACCATTTTTCTTAGGTATATAGACTCGCTTTCCAATTGTAAGAAGCATAGAGAAATCAAAAGAGAAAATAACTTTATTAGGGTTTCTCAAACTCGTTGTCTCTCACTTGCTTTTTATTGTGGATGATTTTAGTAGATGTACATAGGTTTATCTATTCAGATCAAAATCTGAGGCTGGTTTAAGTCTGCAAAGCTTCTGTACTATTGTAGAAACACAATTTAGCACCGAGTCAAAATTATCCACAATGATAATGAGAGAGCATTTGAAATGAGAGACTTCTACCTAAACAAAGGAATTATTCATTAAAAGAGTTGTATGGAGACGTGTGAATAGAATGGGAATGTAGAAAGGAAACATCAACAAACATTCAACATTGTTAGAGCTCTCAAATTTCAAAGTGGTCTTGAGTTGAAGTACTAGAGTGATTTTGTTCTTACAGCTGTATATCTAATTAACAGGACACCCTTGTCTGCCATTGATCACAAAGCTTCTTTTGAACATTCTAGACCAGACCAACTTACACGCATTTAGAGTCTTTGGATGCTTGCCCTTTGCCTCAACCCCAATTGATTATATACATAAATTTGATCTCAGAGCTAGAAAATGGGTTTTTCTGTGGTACCCTTTTGGCATTAAAGGATACAAGCTTCTTGATGTGGAAACAAGCAAAATCATTATCTCAAGAAATGTGGTGTTTTATGAGAATATATTTCCTTATAGGATTGGTAGTAATAATCTCTGCAGTGCTAATGCCCCAAGTCTAGAACACCTTCAACCAAAAAACATTCAGAACAAACTCTACAGAGAATGTGGGTATAAGACTTGATCTTGAAGACACAGATGCAGACACTTGGTGTCACCGCCTAAGTGAAATAGAATTTTTGAGTTCCTCATCTCCAGTACCTCAATCTGAGGAAGAGGAAGTTGTTGAAGCTTCCGTGGAAGAGAGATGTGGCATTGATAATCCTTGCCTGTGAGAAGATCAACCAGAACTAGAAAACCACCTTCCTATCTAAAGGACTTTGTGCTCTTACATGCGCCGCAACTGCCTGAAGAAGACAATTCAGTGGTAGATAAGCCCATTCCCGTAGCTTCTACTGTTTCATATAATGCAATAAGTGAGAAATATAGAGGAGAGGATATGTTTGCTGTAAATTCACAAAGTGAACCTAGCTCATTTCAGGAGGCTTGTTAGAAAATTTTTTTTGAGATAAAAAGTGTGAAGTATATTATTCACAAGGTACCAAGGGAGTACTACCTATTTACAAGGAGGCTTGTCAGAATATTGACTGGGTGAAGGCAATGGAAGATGAAATTGATGCACTGGAATAGAACAAGACAGAGATGATTACACATAGATCACTATATCATTTATCTTTTAATGGGCTCCTTGACACATAGATCTCCTGTGCTAAGAATGAACTATATTAGACCTAATATATCTTGTATTAGTTTTACTTTTCAATAAAAACCGGACTGCAAGACTTGAACTTGTATCCCCCTATTTTGATACATGTGAAATAATGAAGTTGAATTAATTATTATCCTAAAGTTCAGTCATCTGTAAGGACCCAACTTTATTATTTATTTTCTAATAATCATGATAAGCTACGCAACTAACTAGGACATCAGGTGTGTATAATCTGTGGCACAAATCTACAAAACTAAGAAATGGCGTAGGGCTCTAGAGAATACTTATTAGAGTAAGCTTACCAGGTAAATTATTCTGTGTTAGTGCTTAACTAAATCTCTTAGTCACAACATCTCTACATGTTCTTGCTTCAGTTTGATGTTGCATTCTGTAGGAACTCTTTTACTCATGTTCTTCAGGGAGTAATTTATTTGTTTATTGCTTGCTTTAGGCAAGGATACTCATGGAGCCGGGATTTGTTGCTGCGGATGACAACTCACAGCCATTTATGCTGAATTTGCTTGATAAGGAAAATAACATTCTGCCATCTGAGAGTTTTCCTGACACAGACAAGCCAGGATATGCTTATCAAAAGCAAGAAGCTATGGAGAAAGAAGAGTATCTTAGACAGTTGGATGAGCTTAAGGCTAAACACTCCTCCAAGGATGATATTGACGGGGAATCAAATATGCATGATGGTGGTACATCTTGTCTTGCAACATGCACAACAAGTGATATTGAAGATGATCTCCTTAAGAGTTCCTTTTCATATGAGGGTGAGGATGGCGGAGACAATAGACCTGGTTTCTTAACATCTTGTGTAGGAACTCGCTGGTTTCGGGCCCCAGAGCTACTCTATGGTTCGGTAAATTATGGCCTGGAGGTTGATCTATGGTCATTAGGCTGCATTTTTGCTGAGCTTCTTACCCTTGACCCACTATTTCCAGGAACTTCTGATATTGATCAGCTTAGCAGAATATTTAGTGTACTGGGCAACCTAACAGAAGAAGTCTGGGCAGGTTGCACCAACCTTCCTGATTACAGAACAATATCATTTGCAAAGGTAGAAAATCCAACCGGTTTAGAGGCCTGCCTGCGTGATTGTTCCCCAGATGAAGTATCGTTGGTCAAGAAACTTGTTTGTTATCATCCAGCTGCTAGAGCTACTGCAATGGAATTGATAAATGAAAAGTATTTTAATCAAGAGCCTTTTCCAGTTCCCATATCTGAGCTGTGGGTACCTGAGAGCAGAAGTGGACAAGATGAGGATTTCCCGGGTGAGTGGGATGATTATAATGGCATGGGTTCAGATTCAGATTTTGATGATTTTGGTCCTGTAAACTTCAGAAGAACAAGTGCTGGCTTTTCCATGCAATTCCTCTGACCTTGAGAAGCATTTACGTAGTATATGAATTGTTTAAAAGGTATATTTATGTTGCTGTGGTTCCCGGTGAATTTTCAAAGGAATGCATTAACGGTTGTGGTAGAGTTCTCTTTTTCAATGTTTTAGCCATTTTTGGAGGGTCTCCTTCCACTCTCCCTGTTGGTGATGACATCTTAGGTGAATTGCAACCATCCCTCTCGAAGGTTAGCAGTTCACTGATTAACCAGATTGAACTGGATCCTTCAACATTCTTGATTGAATTCATTAGGGACTAAAGTGGAAACTGTGAGTATATGATCATTAGATCTGAAACAATGAAATGGAAATACAATTTAAAATATATTTCTGGTCTATTCTGCCATTGCAAATGTAAATGCCTCAATTCAAACTCTGAAACGAACTTAATAAAGTTTTCAGGCTATTTCTTTCATTGGGTGGAGCCTAGTTTATCATACATATACACACGCTGACGTTTTCCTTAGAGAGCACAAACTTGTACTCACTGCAAAATCTTGACAACTGTATGGCTCTTTTTTCTTGGACAAAAACCACGAGTTCTCTTTTCAGTCTTGTCTCTCCCTGTAAATAAACAAGCTTCCCTGGAGATAGGTGCTCGAAGCATTTCCAGGATCAGTTTCTTACATGGCAGGTCGCAAGAAAAAAACCACAAGCTTACATAGACTTCCCACCCTATATTCAAATGGGGGAATACCTCTAGTTCTGTGGAAGCAGCGCAATCTCAATTTCTTGGAGCGACTTTCCTTTGGTCTCCATTACATTTCTCTTCACAAAAACAACTGCCAATAAGCAAAAGGTCGCAAACATTGAGTACAAGAGCTGTGAGCCAAGTTGCTCCAGCAAGCGCAAGAACAGCAATCCCACAAAGAAATTTATCACCTGTCAACAGCAGTTCTGGGAATGAGATAAAATAAAACTGAGCTAAAGTCATTAGTCCCCTAAAAAACACAGTTGACATTTTAAATTAAGTAGAAAGTAAGATTCCAAGTTCTGTTCAAGTTTAAATGAAACGGGTAAAAGAAACAAAAAAAAAAAGAAAAAAGAAAAAAGAAAAAGAAACAACAACATAGTAAAGCTCAAGAAAGTTACCCAGTGCACTGACATACAGACAGCCATGGCTTTGGCCCTAATTCGACTGGGGAAGATTTCTGGAAGGAGAAGACCAGGTACTGGTCCAGCTCCTACTGCAAATGTTAGAACAAACCTACACAAAGTCTTCACAATTAGTAGCTGCATCCAGTTATCGCTATACCAGAAACTGAAAAATGCTATGCAGTTATCAGGATTTAGGTAAGAACTGGGTTGGTGATTAAATGGTAAAACTTGCCATTTTTATCTCGCAAACAACACAGAAAATTACATGCAATATTGATTAATTCCACTTTTCTATATACATCACTCTATCTGGGATTTAGATAGAAAGCAACCTACAGCCAGTTCAGCACCAGATAGGCATGCCCAACATAATTGGTATACAAGAATGAAGTAAGAGAAGCAGAATTTCTAGAGATAGGACTCACATCAGCATGCCACCAACTGATAGGCACACAGCTCCAGAGTGCGATAAGGACGGACTTGCAGCAGCAACTTGGAGGAACATCGACACTGCCTAAAGGCTTCAGATATTATAGACTGATTTTACATTTAAACAACTCAGGAGAAGTTACTATTAACTTCTATTACCATTTCAGAGGTAGTTATATTAATATCTATTTAAGAAATCTATTTAAAGTGCAAATCAAGCAACTCTATAATCATAATCACTGGAAAGGCTTCAATGAACGTTGATTTGTATTAGAATGTACCATGCCCAAGAAGCTCCATAAAAGAAGCACCTTCCTGCCTAGTTTATCCATCAAAATCATCGCAACAATAGATCCTGAGAATAAGATTTCTCACATTAAGAGTCAATCAAGAAACCCAGCAGGTGCAAGAAAGCTACTGGATGAAAAGGTATACCTGAAAAATTTGCAATTCCTACAAAGACATTTGCAAGGTCCGAAGGTACTCCAGCACTTTTAAATACAGCAGAAGAGAAATAAAATACAGCATTTATACCAGATAGCTGTTGTAAAGCAAATAGGGTTGACCCAATAAAAACAACTGCAAAAGGAACGCGTGAATAACAGAGCCAAAAAGAAAATAGCATAGAGAGAGCCAAAGATGATAGCAATTAAGCACAATAGTTTCAGCAGCAGTAAAAATAAAAAGGACAGATTTACTCATAAAGCACATGAAAATGTACCAAAAACAAACCATATCTACCTCTAAAATGCCGACCATAAAATAATTCTGAGAGCTTAACAGCATCTGCGTCATCCCCCCTATCTAATTTGTACAGTTCCACCATTGCAGTTTTGACATGTGACCCTCCTAAAAGCCTCTCGTATTCAGCTTCAGCTTCAGCACTTCTTCCTCTCTTTATGAAACAAAGACACTGTTAGTGATAGTCTTATACCAAACCACCGCAAGAAAGGCTGAGTCACTTAATGGGATTAAACTCATCCAATAATAAATGGGCCACTTTAGCATAACTTTCTCTTAAGGGAAAAATGGAACTTTTAAGACAGAAAGAACACGTGAACTATGTGACAGGCAAAAATTCAAATAATAAAAAATCAGATAGAGCCACATGAAGCAGAAAACAATGTGTCAGACAGAAGATGCACAATTGTCACACCGACACAAAATCACTCATGTAGACTACACAAATACTGATAAGAACAAATAATAACATCATGCAAGCATCGAAAACACCTGATACATTTTTTACCAATCATCAACTGATCAGTATATGAAACTTAAGATTTCAGTCATGCAGCCCAAAGCAAAGAATTATTTGAAGTTGAAAGAACCTTGTACAGCCAATGAGGAGACTCTGCACAAAACATCATTCCAAGGGCAAGTATCACAGCAGGAATTGTAGATACCAAGAAACAAATGCGCCACCTGAACATTTTTAAATTAGAAAAGCATTGTTGATACACTCTTAAAGATGCAGATAAAATGATAATGAGTGCTCCTTAAGTTGGGAAAAGTGTGTTTGAAAGATTCATATTAACATACGATCAAGCTATTACAAATGCACATCTTACCAGCCAGAGATTTCTTGGACAGGGATACCAATTAACAAAGCCCCCATTAGTCCAAGACATGTTGCAATTTGGATGAAACTTCCATAAGTTCCCCTCACGAAAGCAGGAGAAACCTACTCAAATAAAAAATAAAATTTCAGTTACAGAAAGAAACTTCCTACATTGATGAACAAAACAATACCCGAAAAGCAATTCAGAAATATGTGTTACGCACCTCTGTCACATAAAGGGCTGCAACAGGGGGCCCAAGACCCATTCCACTCCCAACTAATAGCCTTCCTAAAAGCATTCCCTCAAGATTTTTAGCTGTTGCACTGAAAAATGATGAATGTTTTCTTGATCAGGATTTCAAGAGAGACCAGAAAGGCAGTAACTTACAGTTAAGAGTGTTAAACACTCTCTAGACATGAACAGGGAAAAATAAACTGTCTTCAGATAGAAAGAGGTTATAAGATAGTAGCTATTCACTTTTTTTTGTTCTCAAGAAGAGCTATTCATGACTTTTGACTATGGCATGACTTAACACACAACTAATAATCACTGACAATGTAAAACTATAAAACTGTCATGAGCCAAACCAAAGGTAATATAACTTCCTAATATCAGATTATTATCTCAACTTTGTATTACTTTAAAATCAAGAGATAGTAAATGTTTTCTTTCGGGATGTAATAAGATAAAGTTGTCATGCATTGAGTCTGACTTTCCAATTGCTTTTTACATTACCCAGGTATGGAAATAAGTTATGCTTCAAGCTATGTAATATACAACCAGAAACCTGAGTTAGAATTATCAACTAATGTCGAAAAACTCAGTGGGACGTCAATGACATCAAAATTGCAGATCAAAGCTGGAGGCATTCATTAATAAAAACAAAGGAAAACAGGGTGACGTGTATGTCTTAATGTTGCATGCTATAGCTATGTTCATTGCCATGATAACAAAAAGGTCACCTGATCAAGGCCCCAATGATCATAGGCAAAGCACATAACTGAAAAGCCATACGGCGTCCAACTCCATCAGCTATCCAGCCACTAAAGAGAGATCCAACAAAAGCACCGCCCAAACATGTACTCACCACCAGACCTTCATTAACATAAAGCCATATAATGAATCAAATTAGAGACAGTAATGGAAGTCATAGTGTAGCAGAAAAAGGAATATCAACTGTACAATACCTTCTGCCAGGGTATTCCCGTTGAAGCCAAGATCCAGAGAGATGCTTTCAAGTGGTTCATTGACTACTCTGGTAGAAGATTCAATAGGCTTACGTAAAATGCCTGATATTGAGTTCTAATAGGAATAGGACAATGAAGATGAAAGGCCAAATGCTAAGTTGAAGACAATGCACAAACCCTAAATGGTAGCCAAATAAGAACGAAGATATGGTTGCCACCAGAACATGTATGAATGAACGTTGCCAAGGAGGATTTGTAGTTTCCACACCCATATCATTCTGTAAAGGAGCTAAAACAAAAAAAGAGAATTAAACCAAAGTGTTATTGCAGATGGCTAAATTTCGGTTGTCAAGATTTTAAAAAAACCAACAATTCATCTTGTCTAGTGATTATACTCCACAAAGAATCTATATTTTATTATATGAATTTCCCACTTAAATTTTTGTATTTGTTCCCTTATCTATTCTTCCTCAATCCAATATCACAGAAGTATAGCAAATTCCCTAGAGACTGCCAAAGTGCCAATGCTCTAGAGCATATCGACGCACTAAACGCCTCATATTCAAACTGGAAAAATGCGCTGAATCTATCAAATTCAACAAAAGGCCAATGTTAAGAGTAGGATTAAGCAAAATAACTCAGTAGGCAATGGATACATTACCCGAGTTATCTTCTACATCAGTTACTGGTGAATAATCTCTTGATGACATTCTTTTGTACATTGATGTTGCCTCGCGCTGATGTCCCCACATGCCAAACTCCAAATCACCTGATTCAGAGAGTTTTTGAATACTCTGCAATACCAGATCATGACATCAACTTCCCATTTCAGGTCAACACGGATTCCATATATCAGTAATAGTATCAGCAAAAACATTGCATTTCCACTTCAACTGAAATGCATTTGTCAATTTTTCTCAAGTAAAACAACATGGGATATCGGAAGCCTGTCCGTTCCTTTATTTTCCCGTCGTGCTTAACAACGAAACAGAAGCCAGCCTGATATAAAAGATCCGTCTGATCTGACATTCTCATCTATTTACTTAAACCTTTGTAAAACCTAAGGCGAAGAAAAGACAAACAAGAAAAGAAGGCCTATAGAAGAAGCTAAATCAATATTCTGCATGACCAATGAAGCCAGGATTACCGAATGCGGAAGTAATCATGTAATATTCAGTGCTTATAACATTCTTTTTCCCTCGATTTATCACCAGACAAATGGAAGCGAGAAAAAAAAAAAAGCAGAGAACATCCAAAATAAACATGACATCTTGAATTAACAAAAAAAGAATCATTACGATAAATACATCCAGCAAGCAAAATCAAACCAATTCCGAAATGATTAGAGAAGTGGTAGAATTAATCAAATGAAGCATCAATCAACTTAAAAAATCAACAAAACTTAACGAAAAACTAACTCCGATTCCCAAAACTTGTTAACACAAGAAAATACACAGCTGATTACCGGATTCTTCCCCGATCATTAAACGATGAAGACGAGATCTAAACAGAAATGAGCTGAGAACTTTCAGGTGAAACTCGCATGACAATCAAACAAAAGAAGTTATAAGACAATTCGAGAGAGACTTTATATAGAAGGAGAAGCAAAGCAGGGTCAGGGCTATCGTGCGCCGGACGCGGAGGCTTAAGGAGTGAGAAAGGTAGGTTTCTTAAATACGGAGAACGAAACAGAGCAACTACCATAATTTTTTGGGGTGTACAGAGAAAAGTTGTAAAGGAAGCAGGGAAAGCGACAAAGAACACTGTTGAAAATTAATTAAGTTAATCAAAAACAACTTTAAATCCCAATTAATCTAATTATTATTGCGATCTTTTCGGTGGTTAGCGTACGAGGAGATTCGGCGCTCGGACAGGTGTCTGCTATATGACGGTGACAGTTGGACTTGCTTAACTTAATTATTAAAATATTAGTGGAGGGATTTTAGTAAGGGCATTTTAGACATTTTAACTGTTTTGCTGAACTTAATTATTAAAATATTATTGGTAGCCTTTCGTAAGGTCATTTAGGACATTTTATGCATTAATTTGCGGTTCCAGTTACGACAATTGGCAAATGCCGACAGTGTACAGAAAGCAATATTTTCTTTTCATTTTAATATTTTCAGATAACCCTCTGAAGCTCCCCTCTATAGGCAATTACCATATGGGTCTACAACATGGTCACGGGAAAATGTCAACTTCTATGACAAATTACCCTTTTTTTTTTAAGACAATTTTTAAGATATCACAAATTATACAATTTTTTTTTTAACTTTTACAATTTCGACAGTCATGCTATTCTTAAATTATTGTACAGAGATCTTCTAATTGTAATTTAAAATGTTGAAGTAATAATTCATGCCAAAACCAACCAACCCAAATTTAGGTCGGATTCAGCTCGATTCAATCCAAAAAAAATAGGTCATATAGAACAACATTGACCAAAAGTAATAAGGACAAGTGACTTGACAAACTCAAAAAATAAAAATAAAAACATGAAGAAAATAGAGAAAGGAAGGTTCGTGCGCGATGCGAAAATCTTTACACGATCTACTTCCACTTTTAAATTTCACGTAGTTGCCGATTTCTTGCTAATTTATCTTCATTGTGCTCATAGAATTAGGAAAAACCATTATCTTTTTTTTGTATTTAAGCAATTCATAACATCAATAAAAAATATATTAAAATTTTTCAGAAAAACACAATCTTGTTTCTCACTATAAGCATAAACGAAACTCATCAGGTTTGGTTCTTCTCCAATTGGAACCTATCAGTTGGTATAAGAACATGTTTAGCATGGCATCTAGCAAATAAAGGATTGAAAACTTGGAGGTCAGTGTCGATAGTCTGCAGGATAGTATGTCTAGAATGGGGGTCGGCATGGTTGACAAATTTTGCCAGATTGAGGAAACGCTGAAGCAACTCACAAAAACTTTGGTGATGAATCGATAATGCTCCAGCAATAATACTACGAGCTAAGCTGGCCAAATGCGACTTAACAGAGATGACGACACCGAGAGAACATACAAAGGCCGATATATGTTCTGCTCCAAACTAGCGAAGCTTGAGTTTATCACTTATTCTAGCGATAACCCAACTAAATGATTCAAGCAGGTCGAGCAATTCTTCAAGCACCAGAATACCACCAAAGCTCACAAAGTTTCCCTGGCTTCCTTCCACCTCAAAAGAGAAGCCAACCTGTTGTGGCAATGGATGCGGCAAACATACAGGAAAGAAGGAAGAGAGGTCACCTAAGTTGCATTCATGGACGAGCTCTGAGTCTATTTTGGGCCGACGAAATGTGAAGATTTTGATGGACCTAGAAGGCTTTGGTGAAAACTTTTACTGGTGGGCTTAAGCTTGAAATAGCATATGAAGTCAAGATGTTTCGGCCCAAGTTCTTGAAGGAAGTGATTAATCTAGCCCCCATGAGAGAAGATCAATTGAATCGGGTACGCTGATCTCACCAGTTCGAGCAAGTTGGGACCACTCAATCGTCCCAAGTGCTAGCAGCTCCATTATCACAAACCATAACTATTTCACCCCCCGCCACCAACAAATCTCTTAAGATCAATGCAGAGGCAACAAACAAAAGGGTTGTACTTCAACTGGGATGAGGGATTAATGACCTAATTGTGCACTCAAACTAGTCAACAAAAATGATATTTGTGCACTTTATTAAATCCCCCACACTTATCTTATGTTTTCCCCCAAGCACCACACAATACAAATCAGCAACTCTAAACTCTTCACTTTCAACCCATCTCTTCCTAAAAATTATATCATAACTCGATCTGTTACGTATAACTTTAAATTGAAAAAAAAACAACCATCAACTAATAGTTTATATGATAGAGTTTCATAAAACCACACAAATGAATAGTCACTTTAACTAATATCCAAACATGAAATGGAAGAGTCTTGCAATTTTAGCATATATTTATTTTCATTGAGAAAAGCAGTCAATACATAGTGGAACAACCACCAACCTGACCAGATATGAATATTTCATGCATTTAGTTCATGCTAAAACTATAAAATTTATTTGTAGCTAACTTGAGCATTTTTCTTGATTGTTTAAAATGTTACTAACCTTTTAATGCAAGTACAAACATTTGTGATTAGTACTCAGTTACTCAGCTGGACATAATTTTAAGTGGTTACACTACTCATAGTTATTTGACTAGTAGAGTATATTATTATTTGTGCTCTTTTTTTTCAATCACAATTCTAAATATGAACCATAAAATTCCAAACACACAAATCATATTAAGTTGCAGTAAAGTTCTTTCGAAGAATTGGCAGTCACTCAATGATAAGAGAAAATCAATTTTAATAGACAAACCTCAAACAAGTCATGTTTAAGGCAACAAAAAATAACTATTCATTGTGTGAAAAGATGAAAAACAAGCTATAATTCTTAGAATATAGTTGTAATTACAATTCAATAATCGAATATGACGTCTAAGTCATTTTAAGAATGACTGGAATAGTTGTGAAAATTTGAACTGAAAATTGTTGAATGTATATTTGTGGTTGACAAAAAATACAAAGTCAAAATGTTCAGCGATAAATATCATAGAAAAATGAGAATGCAACAGAAATAATAAAGTAAAATACTAAATGAACCACTCAAAATGCAGAATACCTCTCCCCCACACTTAAACCACACATTGCCTTCAATGTGTTATAAATGATGATTAAGTAAATAGAAAAGGAGCGAAGGAACAAGTCAACTCCCCTTATGACGTGTCTTAGAAGTGGGGCAAAACTGAAAGTTGTCAGTTTTGGTTTGGTCAAAATTGGAACCCCATAGCTCTCGTCACTACTTGGGTCACTTTCTTTATCTTGTCCACTTTCTCTATCATGTATAAGTCCCAATGTCTCTTAGTTAGTCGCTCCTCCATCTTCTAAATTTGTTGCAATGTGATTACCAAAGGTAGGGTGGATGGTTATAGGGCAACAACCAATGTGGATTTTGTGATTATTAAGGGACCCGTGGCATTAAACTTGGGCAAGGTTTATGTAAATGTCCCAAATTAAAACCCAATAAAAATTTACACGTACCACTCTATTAATGAACTACAAATGATAAAAAAAAAATCAGAAAAATAAAAAAAGAAAAAGATGATAAAAATAAGAAAAATATGAAAATATAAACATCCCAAAAATAAAATAACATGCTTAAGATAAGAGGAAAAAAAATAAATGGGTCACTTCTCACGTAGCACCATTATTTATTTTTTCCTATGTTAGACATTATTAGTTCTTAAGCACTCTAATTAATTTGTCTTTTTCTAGCCTGCTTAATTTGTTAGAAATTATCACTGGGAGGGTTTCCTCTTCTCCCAAGAACACATATTTCAAATGTCTAGGCAACAATTTAAGCTCCAACTTTGGTGCTTGTATAATAGAAGGTAGAAATTTTATATGAGAAATAGGAAGGTCAACACATGGTGCAATGCTCTTTTGAGGTTTAAGTGCCTCCAATTCGAACACCATATCTTGTAGATGCTCTTCAACAATAAAATCCTCTTCTAGATCTTTAAGTTGTCTATATTAAAGTCATTACAAAGTACAATATTCAACTTATCATTATGGCTTACATCAAAATAGTTTTTACTTAAATGATCTATATTATCCATACCATACATATAAAACACATAATTAGGACATTTCATAACATCATAAACATTAAATTTTATAATTTCTCTATCAAACTCCACAGTAAGTGTACCGTCTTACACATCTATTTTTGTCTTGGCTGTACTAAGAAAAGATCTTCCTAGTATAATATCATATGAATTAGATAATTTATCATCTTTCATGTCTAACACATAAAAACCAGTAAGAAAAATGAGATTATCAACTTGGACTAACACATCTTGTGGGACTTTTTCAAGATAAACGACCGACCTATCAGCTAGTTAAATTATGATACCTATTTTTTTAATGGACCAGCATCCAAATTTAAATACATGGACAATGACAAGACGTTTATTAATGCTTTTAAATCACACATGATTTTCTTTATGCATAAATTATCTATTTTATAAGAAATAATGAACATACTTTGGTCCTTGCATTTAGGAGGTAGTTTCCTCTAAATTATGATCAAAACATTTTCCCCCACACTTACTTTTTCATTGTAGCTTAGTTTTTTCTTGTTGGTATATAGCTCCTTTAGAAACTTAACAATCAAGGACCTACTTAATTGAATCGAGTAAATTAATGTTTACCTCGACCTTGCGAAAACTTTTTAGGATCTCTTTACCTTCTTTTCATTCTTTGATTTTACGAATCTTTCTCTATATGGTGGACTGGTTGTCAACGATGTTGGCTTGTTAGAATTAGCCTTGGCTCTATTGGTATGGGCATTATCATTAACAAAAACCTTTGGTTCTATGTCTTTCCGTAAGCCTTACCCATGGGTTATCTTATAGGGATTTCTAGCAGTTCCTTACCATTTTTCAACTTGACAGCACTTACATTTTGCTTTAGATTCATATCACTTTGAGATAGCAGTTTGCCTTGAGATTCTAGCTTACTCAAAGATATTTCTAAATGGCTCATCTGGGTCTCTAAATTTTCGATGTTTGCTTTTATTTCCTGGATACTTATTCTTATCTCTTGGATGTTTGCTCTTGTCTCTTATTAAAATTGTTGGGTATTAGGAGTAAGTAATTTAACAATTTT